GTACTCAATGGAGTTGGAGTGAAACTTGCACTTCTCTGGCTTGGCATAAAGACCATGCTTTCAAAGGCAGCAGAGTACCTCTTTCACATGTTCACAGTGCAACTCCACATCCTGCAAATAAACTAGGATGTCATCAAGGTATACCATGATGCAGACATTGAGAATGTCTGCAAAGATGCTATTAACAAATCACTGGAAAGCTGCAGGCATGTTAGTCAGACTGAATGGCATTACCCACCACTCATAAGAACCATAACAAGTGCAGAAAGCTGTTTTCCATTCATCCCCATCTGCGATGCAGACTAGATGATAGGCATGGTGGAGGTTGATCTTGGTGTAGACTTTAGCATGGCTTGGGGAGTTGAGTAGGTTGGAGATGAGTGGCAGCAGATAGTGATCCTTTTTCATGATTTTATTGAGTCCTCAATAGTCTATGCAGAGGTGGAGTGAACCATCCTTCTCCTTTACAAAGAGGACAGGGGCACCATGAGCAGAGGTGGACTGCTTGATGAAACCATAGCCAAGGTGTGGAGAGCTTCAAGCTCTGGTGGAGACAGAGAGTAGATCATGCCAATGGGCAGAGAAGCTCCTTCCTCAAGGTTGATCTTGAGATCAAACAAGTGGTGTGGCAGAAGTTCAATAGCCTTGTCTTTATTAAAGATGTTGGCAAACTTGTGATACTCAGGAGGGACTGAGGAGAGGTCAGGAGGTGGAGAGGAAGCGGAGGATGCATGAAGCTTCACATCATCAGTGGAGAGCTGTAAGTGGAACTGTCTAGAGCCAGGGAGAGCACAGGCTCTGACATATGCAGCAGCATTGATGAGTGAGATGAGCAGAGCAGAGTGTGGTGAGTCTGTTGGAGGTGCAGATGGAACTGCAGACAGAGCAGGGGGTGTCAGATCCAGAGCAGAGTGTGCAGTGGAAGGTGACGAAGGCACCTGGGGTGTCAGCATTCCCTGTAATGATGGTTTGAATGATATACTGCCCAGTACCCAGTCAATCAATGGATTGAAGCAGGTGAGCCAGTTGTGTCCTAATACCAGCAAACATGAAGAATCCAACAGAGTAACATAAAATGAAACAGAGTTGACATTGCTGGAAGGAAAGTGGAGGGCAAAGTGAGGGCATTGGGTTTAGCTTGTGTGCTACCCCCTTGCATGATCTCAGCCCTCATATTTCAGAGGGGGAGTACAGATGGACAGTCAGAGGTAACTCCAACAGGCAGAAGACAGAGACAGAGGGAGTAGGAACTAAGTTGATATTCATACTGAGGAACATTGGAGTATGATACATGCTTTTATACTACTATGGAGGTACAGTAACCAGAATTGGAACTGACATATGGAGACTTGTAAAATTTCAAGTAAAACTTCCTAGATGACAAACAAAGGGTAGACAGAGGACATACAAATGGGTAACATAGAACATCCAGAAAAGGAAACAGTCCAGGTGCTGGACCATGTGGTGTGTGTGCTGCAGAGTACCTGACTGCAAGCTGTCAGGGAGGAGTCTGAAGGTAGTCACATGACCCCTCAGAGAATGGTCCTGTTCAGTCCAGTAGGAGAGCAGTACAAGTCTGACAGCAGTCAGAGCAGAGATGACTTGTAAATGTCAGGGGGCAGGCAGAGTTGGTGCAGAGTGAGTGAATGACCAGCAGAAAGGGGTGTAGAGTGAGTGAGGACTTAGGATGCATGCATGATCATGACACCTGCAGTTTGACACTCATTGCCTGGGTCAGGTCAGGCAGCAGGTCTTGATCATATGGTGTTCTGTACCAGTGAATAGACATGTTGAAGTGGGGAACCAACCTGGAGTTGAACTGGTCTTAAGTTCACCAGTATTCAAGGTCAGACACCAAAATTTCATTCCCAGAACTGTCCTCATTGGAGCCTCATGGGCTTGGCTCCAAGAGGGGGATACTGTTATGACCATGCCCAGACCACCCTAGACCTGTCCTACCCTGGTCTCATCTGGTCTTGCTCCTGCCCCTACCTCAGTCCTGGCCTTGACACTTCAACCCAGAAACATGTTAGCTCATGAAGCACTGCAAGGCAGTGCCCAGTTGAGCTGTTCACTCAGTTGAGGCCAGACCAGCATGATACCCAGTTGGTCACTGGTCCTGCCCCAGTTCCTGGTAAACCCTTGTTCTTACTTTGCTTGATAATATTCTTTGTAACATTGTACTTACCAATCTGTTTTCTAATCACTGCTGTACCAGTGCAACCAGTCTCCAGTGCTATGTTACATTTAGTTTACCTTCAGTATTTAAGCCATAGGAAGATTTGTTTAGCCTCAGTCTGAAATCAATCTAGTCTCATCTAACCCAGTCCTCCTCTGTTTTCTGTCTCTTAACTGGACTATGGCCCACACAAGGGAATTGTGCTGCCTCTCAGTCACTAAGTCCAATTAGTCCTACCATCTGGTAACTCATACCCTCCTGACCCCTGACCAGACTCTGGACCAGCTTTGTGACCAGTGGCAAACTGGACTTAACAGTAAAAGAGGTGGTTTAATGGTACAAAGTTCACTGTTTGTCATTGTTTATATGCTGACAAATCATATGGAAGATCATGTGTTTTATTATGTAATCATATTTTCCCATCCCTCATGCCCCCAATACCATCAAAAAGGTAACTTTTCACTATTTCACCAGTCAGGGACAAAAGCATTGCAATGCACCTTTTGGAAAGAATACAGTATATCTTGGCATGTATGGCTTTGTTTGGTACATACCTTAGTGTTCTGGAAAGCTGGGGGTCACCCCTTTCAAATGGTATATGTATCACAACTGTCAAGTCCAGGGTGTCTGGGTTCAAGACCAGACCAGAGACCAATGTAGGTGTGAGGCTGAAGGGTCAGGATCAGGGGGGAAGGCAGAGGTACAGAGGGTGGACTGGTTGGACTTAGCAACTGAGAGTGCAGCACTATTCCCTTGCATGGGTTTTAGTCTGAGTCCAAGGCCAAAGTGGGGATATCAGAATAGACACAGCAAGCATTTTACAATTTTCTTTGTACAAACATAGGGAAAAAAATCTTTGAAAAGATACTTTGTTTTATCTCATGTTCTCTGCCAAAATAACTGGCAATAATATTGAATTTTGAAAGGTTTTTCTGACAGAAAACATGACACAGTGGATTTCCAATGTTTTATTGGTGAAAAACAATTACCATGACCCACCACCAAAAACTAAAAACAATCACCAAAAAAATTATTAGTACTGTTTTCTACATGTTATGCAATACATTAATCAAATAATTTACCACAAAATAATTTAAACACACTGATCATTGAAGAACATGTAATGTTACATAGAACATCAAAAGTAAATGATATATGTTTTGTATGTGATAATAATAAAAACATTTGGCCAAGTCTTTCAGTGTTCACCTGAAAAAAAAAACAGAACAGCAGTTCAATGTTTTCTCTAAAAACATGACATGCTAAACTATAATTTTTATGTACAAGAACATAGTACTGAGAGCATGCCAAATGTTCTAGGTGTCAAGGTCACACAGCACCCCTGACTTCCTCTTAGGGTGGAGTAGGAGCAGGTTGGGCTGTGGAGTACAGTGGTCAAAGTTCAAAGTGAATCTGACCACTGGGTGGTGAGATATTCAACAAAGAGTGAGTGGAGAAGTATGGAGGAGGGCTTTGGAGGCAGAGGTTGGAGTTGGAGGTTGGAGGTCAGATGAGAGGGCATCAGGTTCAGCTAGTGTGCTGCCCCCTTGTGCAAGCTCAACCTTCATATTTCAGAAGTGGAGTGGACTCAGAGGGAGTCAGAAGTGGGGACTTTATTTGATACTTGTACTGATTACATTGGAGTACTACATGGCCTTATATACAATGTAGGTCAAGGGTGGTGCAGTGTAAAATACAAACCAATAAGCATATAACAGGTTAGCAGTCCCTCTGACACAAGGGATAGAGGGTAGGGATGATGGGGACCTTAACTGAGACAAGGAAACTACTATAATGAGGGAGAGAGGGTAAATACTGAAGGAGCAGAAGAATGGAGAAAAACTGACATGGGGGTGGAACCCTATCTGGAATGCAGGGCCACAAGTCCAACAGCCCACTGGGCTGACCAAGGCCTTGGAGGAGGCACAGACAAGAGTCTGGCCTCCACATGACCAGCCTGAGGGCAGAGTTGAGTGGAGTTGGTCAGAACATGGACAGGGGACCTTGGAGAGGTGTGGAGATGTGTCAGGAGGGTCAGAGGAGGTGTTAGGGGCTTATGTCAGTGTCATGGTCATGACACTAGGTCAAATTACAGTATCTTATCTCCCAGAAAACATGATAAATAAATAATGTATTAAAATATCCTGTTCTACCACAGAACAACTGTGAAGTAGGCATGTTATATGTAGAGGTGTTATGAAGGTTCTGAGCTGTTTAGGTTCATTTGTGGGCATGACTGCCTTGTGCACAGATCCAAGTTTGTCTCTCTTTGACATTGTTTCATAGGTGACAAGCTGACCACTCCCTTCTAGTGTGCTTGACTTGTTTTTCCAATCTTTCAGCATCTCTGCCCTAGCTGCATCATCAGGCCTCTTGCTGTTCTGCTCTGCTGTGCACTTAGTTCCTCAGTAGCCTGTCAGAATACTGAGGTCTATCTACAGATTCCACAATTATATCCTAAAATAAAAGATTAAACACATAAAACAGTACAATGTATCACTGATAAAATGACTTATCCAGTTCTTCCAATGAGGACCATGGTGGGTCTGTCATGCACAAAATATCCTGTTTGACAGTTGTGGACAGACAAACATGACAATTTTACTCATTGAATTATGCCAATATGGCACAACATTCCAGGGGTGTTACAAATGTATACTAGGCATATTTAGGACATAACAATGCAATCTGCATGAGCCAATTTTTGTTATACTAAGTTTTTGAAATTTTGACCCAAAAATGTGGCCAGCCCCCCAAAGAATTTGTAAAAATCCTGGAAAAAGCGGAATAAGTAGCATTAGCCTAGTACAGTATGATTGCAATGTCAGGGTACAGCTGTCACACTAGTGAGAAGCAGAAAAAATTGAGCAAGTCTGAGTTTGTGGTCATGTGAATTGCTCTTAGACACAGGAATGCCCTTGAAAACCCACTGTAACATGCAACATGGCTGGTCTGCATAACCAGAGCTCAGCTGTTGTTGAAACAGGCAATGTATCATTCCCTGATACACCCAAATCTGACAAGGATCAGCACACAAGCAAATGCATGAGAACATGATCCCATGCTCCCAGCCCTGAGGCAGAAGATGAAGAACTGGAGTGGAAATACACCAAGGTACTTGACAGTTTGAAGTTTACAGCCAGTGAGAGTGAGTCAGAGGATGAGCTTGAACATGATGATGCCACATTCCAAGTCATGGGTGTTGGTGAGGCTGATCTTGGTGCTCAGTTGATCAACCTTGCCATTAGTGCTGGTGATGACCCTCTTGGTGAGACTTGGTTACCTCTGAGAAAAGCAAAGTGTGCTGCCCAATGAAGGCAGTCACTCAGATGCCCCAAGGAATACAAGAAGGGTCCTGATGTCCATCAGCTCTCACAGAAAGCCATGATGTTCATTGAAGTGGTTCTTAATCCTACCTTATATAGGGTCAATAACATGTTACCACACTGTAAGTACCACATTCAATCTAACCAAAATTTTGGCCACCCTAAAAAGTCATGGGAAAAACTTTGGACCACTGTTTTTTGATGTATCTTCACCTGTAGCATCTGAATCAAGTGTTAGTTTGCCCCCCAAAAGTCATGGGAATCCAGAATCAAAATCATTGTGTTTGTCTGTCCACAACTGTACCACAGAACATGATAAATAAATAGTGTAATAAAATATCAATATCCTGTTCCACCATGGAGCATTATAAACTGTGAAGTAAGCATGTTATATGTAGAGGTGTTGTGAAGGTTCTGAGCTGTTCAGTTATTGTCAGACTGCTGCCTACTGCAAATACAGTGCTGAACTCCCCATTTCTTGCATGAACTGCCTTGTGCTCTTTCACTTTCAAAAGTGGACTGGGGACATTCATGAGTGGTGGGGGTGATATCAGAGGCTACTCTTTCTCTAGTCAGTCAGGGAAACCATGGATTTTGGACTATCCTGTTCTACCACAGAACATTATAATGTGTGTCATCAATGTGTTGTTGCAAGAAAAAACAACAAAAGACACAGAATACTCAAGTATAAAAAGTCAGGTGGCACATATCATGACTGACTGAGGTTTATTCCATGAGATAAGATCATGTGACAGCATGTGATGGGGTGGTTAAGCAAGGACAAGCAGTGATAGCATTGATGGCTACAGATGCCTCTCTCTTACTTTCACCTTCTCTCCCCCTTTTGCATCACCCATCATTCTCAATACTGCCCATAGCCAGCTGGACACCATCTCTCTTCCAGCTTATCTTGTTCTCTGGGAGACAAAACACTGATTTAATTGAAAATATTCAGCATGTTAATATGGAATTTCAGTTGCATGTTGAGGCAGATAACAGTTATTAATCTCCTACAGAGTACCAAAGAAATCTCTCAGGAGGTAGCATTTACCAATTGTGTGACCTTGTGACACAGCAAGGCATGCACAGGTCAAGTCAGAAGGCAATTTATTCTTTCTTCTCCTCAGAGCCTTGTGTTGACTCTCTCCATCTGTCACTTGTTGCCTAGCTGAGAAGGGACTTGTATCAGGTTTGAAGTTTGACTTGTCAAAAGATAAGCTGACCTTCTGCAAAGCCTGTGTATATGTGAAGACAACCAGGAAGCCTGTCACAAAGGAATACATCAGAGAATGGGCTCATGAGTTCCCTGAAGAAGTACACAGCAACATCTGGGGACCTGCACCTGTAGAGACTCTCAGTGGACAGTGTTACTACATTTCCTTCACCAACAACAAAATGTGACTTACTTATATTCATCTTCTTCACCAGAAGAGTGAAGCCTTTACAGCCTACAAGGATTTCAGGACCTGGTGTTGCACTCAGCATGATGCTTGCATGAAGACCCTCCACTCTAATCAAGGTGGTGAGTATCTAGGAAAGGATTTTGTGATGTACCTTAAAGCAGCCAGAACAAAGCAAAAACTCACCACACACAACATGCTGTAGCATAACAGAATTACTGAGCACCTTAACCACACCCTACTGGAGAAAGTCCACACCATGTTGCACAAGAATGGTTTGCCTCATGCCCTATTGGGTGAAGCAGTACATCATGCTGTTTGGTTGAAGAATAGGACTCCAACCAGAGCACTCAATGGTGGGATGCCCCTCAAAGCTGTGGCAAGAAAGAAACCAGACCTCAGTCAAGCCCACCTGTGGGGCTTGAATGTCTGGGTACAAGTTAAAGGTGGAACTAAGCTGGGTGGATGTGTTGTGGAAGGCTGATGGGTTGGGATCAATGACAATAGCCCCAATGGCTGTCACACATACTGGCCCAACAAGAAATCAGTCACTGTCAAGAGAAAAATCCCTCTTGAACTGAGACATCGCCTTGCAAGGGGGAGGAAGGAGACAACCACTTACCAAATGCAATTCTAATCCTCTAGCTCCCATTGAAAAGACTAAAGAAGTCTCAATGCCTCCACACATTCCTACAGTTCATCCCATGTCTCCACCACCTCCAGCTGACCCTCCCACCAAAAAAAATCAAAAACCTAGTCAGCATCTTGCAGAGATACTTGCTGGAAATGGGAGCACAAATTGAAGAGGCATACCTGAGATACCAAGGGGAGTACAGCTTCCTACCATCATCAAAGACTGAGTTGACCATGCCAGACCTGAGGGGGATGGAGCTGCAGCCTTGCTTGCATCCATTGTAGAAGACACAGATGACATTCTTTGCAACATCAATCTCACCATGGCCATGAATGACACCACTGCTGAGACAGAAGCACTTGAGCCCAAATCACTAGCTGAAGCCCATCATTGCCCTGACTGGCCATGATAGGAAGGAATAAAAGAGGGGTTAAATATGCTAAAGAAGCAGGCACCTGGGAACTTGTTAACTTACCTCCTGGCACCAACATACATAGTAGGTTCAAAGTGGGTTTTCTGTGCCAAAAAGGATGCCACAGGGAATGTCATGCAACACAAAGCCAGGCTACTCACAGGTTGAAGGGGTCAACTACTTTGATACATTTACACCAGTGGCAGTGTATCCATCTGCATCATACTTGCAGTGGCTGCTCACTCTGACATGGAACTCCATCAGATCAACATCAAAGGAGCATATCTAAACAGCACACTCACTGATGACAAGATCATTTACATGCACCAGCCCCCCAGATCTGAATCTGTTGACCACCTGCACAAAGTCTGTCATCTTTGCAAGACACTGAATGGCTCTTTGGTGTTCCATTGCTTGCAAGGAATGGGTGTAATGAGCATGTACACCTACACCTACCCCAGTCCACTGGGGTTAGTACATGGAATGAAGATGTGTTTGATACTGCTGTGCTTAGATGAGTTTGCCATGAGAGAAAAATATGAAAATTGCTGCTGCATCCTTGCCTGACAGCACTGACATTAGAATTGAAATATCTCATGAAAGAAGCTAGTGTTAAGTCCAGGTCTTCACTGGTCCAAGGCCAGTCCAGAGTCTGGTCTGGGGTCAGGGGGGTAGACTAGGAACTAGGAGGTTGGACTGTTGGACTTAGCAACTGAGGGTGCAGTGCTATTCCCTTGTGTGGGCTGTAGTCCAGTTGAGAGGCAGAAGTCAGAGATTAGAGAGACTGGGTTAGATGAGACTAGATTGATTTCAGACTGAGGCTAAAACAGATTACCCTACAGCTTAAATACTAGAGGTAACCTAAGTGTAACATGGCACTGGAGACCAGTCTGCACCAGTACAGCAATGATTGGTAAACTGATTGGTAAGTAATGTTACAAAGAATATTATCAAGCAAAACTATGAACAAAGGATTTACTGGGGACCAGGGCAGGACTTGTGGCTGGGCCAGGTGTTACACTGGCCCAGTACCAACTGAGTGGACAACTAAATTGGGCACTGCCTAGCAGTGTCTCATGAGCTAACACATTTTTGGGTCTAAGGGTAAAGGCTGGGACCAGGGCAAGGATTGGATGAGACTGGGGTAGAGCCAGTCTAGAGTGGTCTGGACATGGTCATGACAGTATCCCCCTCTTGGAGCCAAGCCCACAAGGCTCCAATGAGGACAGTGCTGAGAATGAAAATTTTGTGTCTGACCTTGAAAACTGGTGGACTTAAGGCTGGTCCACCTCAGGTTTGGTTCTTCACTTCAACATGTCTAATCGCTGGTCCCAAACACCATATGACCAAGACCTCTTGCCCAACCTGACCCAGGCAATGAGTGTCAAGCTGCAGGTAGGCAGTGATGACAATGAGCAGGCCATCTGGGGAAAACTGGCTGAATGCAAGAGGCACAAGAGGAAGCCCAGTTGGAGGCTGAGAGGCAGGAGCATGCCTGGCTTGAAGAGGAGAGAGCACACACAGATGCAGAGGCACAGAGAGTAGAGGCTGCATGGCAAGGCTGAAGAAGCCTGGAAAGCAGAGCAGAGCCAGCAGGTGGATGCCCTAGTGGGTAGTTCAACTGGGGCCAGTTCTAACATTGAGGTGATGAACCCTCAGTAAGTCTTATTATGGTCATCACCAGTGCTCTTTGACTAACACTCTACCAGCTGCCTTCAATGCACCTGGACCAACACAACCTGTGTGCACAGCACTGACAGCAAGAAAAAGCACATGGCTTGTAACCAGTGCAATGAACCCAAGGAGTGCTGCTGGTGGCTGGTTGAGGGTGAGACCAGTCAGGGAGCTGGCCTGGGTGTTGACAAGGGTAAGAGAAAGGCTGACATGATGTCCCCTCACACTGGTGAGAAGAAGAGGTCATGGCACCCATCTGCTAAGGTACTTGAGGGTGCAGGTGATGAAGAAGATGATGTGGAGGAGGGGCCTTTGATGAAGAAGACTGGTGCTGAGGCTGGGGCCAGTCCTGTCACTGGCGACCAGATGGAGTGCCTGATTAAGGCAGTGGAGCATGTGGCTGACAACATGGTCAGCCTAGCAGTGGCCCAACGGGAGGTCTCAAGGAACTTTTACCAGTTTGCCCAGTCCTACAAGACCTATGTTGAAGAACACTTCGAGTTTTTGGCACCAAATGTGCCCTCAGACCAGGACACCACTGACAAGGAAGACAGGGATGTTGAGGGGCTTGATGAAGAGCTGGAGGGGCCAAGGAGGGAAGAAGAGGAAAGCCAGTCCCAGTCTGAGTCAGGTGACCAGACTGGTGCCAGTTCTGCTGGGTCCCAAGTCTGATGCTGCATGCATAGAGTAGTGTTGTTCTTCTCTGTATGACTCATGAATGCCACCACCTGGTTCCAGTTCTAAAGTATGAGAGAAAGCAAATAAAAGAAAAGTAAGGGAAATAAAGACATGGTAACTATGAGACAAGTGAAATGGATAAGGAGAAAAGAAATTTGAGACTGGTTCTAGGTTATTTCTTGAAAGGGCTGGGTTTGTTTGGGTACCAGTCATGATATTCTTGGATGAGTTCTGAGATGTTGTCCAGCTCTGTTGCTAATACCCAGGTAGTTTCTTCATCAGTTCCCTCATAACCAGTCCACTGGACCAAGTACTGCAACCAACACTTCCTGCACCAGTCAACCTTCAAATTGAGTATTTCTGCTACTTTGAATTCTAAGTTGCTGTCAATATCTACTGGTGGGGGTGGAGGTTGAGTCCAGTTGGGTATGGTATTTGGGATGGCCAGTTTGAGTTGGGATATGTGGAAGACCAGGTGTACAGTGTGCATGGAGTCTGGTAAATGCAGGGTGAATGAGTGAGAGCCAGCCCAGGCTATTATGGGGTAAGGCCTGAGGTTCTCCTCACTCAACTTCTTGGCAGGCTGGGTCAACCAGAAATACTTGGCTTTTACATAGACACTGTTGCCCACTTTGAAGTCCAGGGCCAGCATGCACTTAGTATCTGCTAGTCCTTGGTAGCATTGCTGGGTGAGAGCCATTTCTTCATGAAGGTATTGGTGCAGTGAATCTAAGTCAACTGCATAATCATGAGCCTGGTTGGATGTGAGATCATGCTCAGGGAAGACTGAGATATTAGGGTGATACCCCAGTCATAGTGCTAGGTGCATTGTTGTAAGCAAACTCAGCCAATGGTAGTAACTCAGCCCAGTTATCCTGTTGGTAGTTACAGTAGACCCAGAGATATTGTTTGAGGGTCTGGTTGGTGTGCTCTGTCTGACCATCCCCCTCTGCACAGGGAGTTGTTTGAGTAGGCCATAAGGCCAGTGGTGGGGTACCTTGGCCCAGGCACAGGTGGTACAAGACTGGACATAGTCTTTCATGAATGTCCTTAGGCCAGGCCAGGTGTACTCACACCAGATGAGCTCTAAGGTTCTATTTTGGCCAAAGTGACCAGACAAGGGGTGGTCATGTTTGAACCTTAAGACATGAAGGTGAAGGTCATTAGAGTCCAGTACATAGATTCTTCCATCTAGGCAGAGGAAGCCAGTGTCATCAACTGACCACCAGGAATCTGATGTATCTGAGAACTGGACTTGGGTGACTGGCTCTGAGGGTAGGGCTGAGAGGATATCATTGTGTAACCTCTCCACATCCATCAGTGCAACAGCATGTAGGACCAGGTATTCAAGGTAGGTGGTGCACAGGGAGGTGGTTAGCTGTTCCTGCATGAAGACCAGTCTGAGATTCTGTGGGTTGACCCAGGTGTAGTTGCTATCCCCCTCTTTGGGGTAAACATCCCATTGTCTAGTTAGGGCATCAGGCTTAGCACTGAGTTTACCAGGTCTGAACTGGATAACCATTTTGAACTGTGACAAAAAACTCAGACCAGTGTGCCTGGTGCCAGGTTAATACCTTCGAGGTGGAGAAGTACTCCAGGTTCTTGTGATCAGTGACAACATCAACTGGTACTGCAGAGCCTTCTAAGTAATGCTGCCATGTCTGGAATGCCTTGAAGATCATGAGTAGTTCCTTATCATGGGTGTCATAATTTAGCTCCAGGGCTGTCAGGGTGTGAGAGTAGAATGTGACCAGCCAGATTTGACCATCACCACCAGTGATGGACAGAATACTGGCTATGGCATAATCAGATGCATCAGTCTTGACAGTAATAGGAGCATCCAGGGAAAAATGAGTTAGGACTGGGGCAGTAGTGAAGGCCTGTTTGAGTTTATTGAACAACTGGTGGCACTCCTCAGAAAAATTCCAGGGAGCACCTTTGTGTGTCAACTGGGTTAGAGGTACCACTATGTCCAAGTAGTTGAAAATGAACTGGCAATAGAAATTGGCGAAGCCCAGGAAGGACTGAATGTCCTTTACCTTCTGGGGCTCAGGCCAGTCACAGATAGCTTTGACTTTTTCTGAGGACATGATAAGGCCAGTTGGGGACAAGTGGTAGCCCAGGTATTCCACAGAGTCCAAGTGGAATTCACACTTCTCCAGTTTGGCATACAGGCCATGCAACCAGAGCTGGTGAAGAACCTCCTGGATGTGCTGCTTGTGAGAAGACTCATCTCTGGAGTAGATCAGGATGTTGTCAAGGTAGACAATGATGCAGACATCTAGCATATCTGCAAAGATTGAATTGATGAACTGCTGGAATGCAGCCAGGGCATTGGTAAGACTGAAAGGCATCACCAGCCACTCATAAGACCCATAGCACATTCTAAAGGCTGTTTTCCATTCATTGCTGGGTGCAATCCAGACAAGGTGGTACACATGCCTCAAGTCAATTTTAGTGTAGATTTTGGTGTGACTAGGGGAGTCTAGTAGATCAGATATTAGTGGTAAAGGATAGTGGTCTTTCTTGGTGAGCTTGTTAAGGCCCTGGAAGTCAACACATAACCAGAGTGAGCCAACCTTCTTCTTTACAAAGAGGACCAGTGCAGCATAGGGGGAAGAGGTGGGCTGGATGAAACCAGTAGTCAGGTTTTTGTCAATGAAAGCCTGGAGAGCTTGCAGCTTGACTGGGGATAGTGAGTAGATAGTTCCAACAGGTGGTGTAGTATGCTCTTCCAGTTCAATCTTAAGGTTGTACTCCTGGTGGGGTGGGAGAGTAGATGCCTTGGCTTTGCTAAAGATGTCAGCAAAGTTGTGGTAGTCCTTTGGTACACTGGCCAGGTCTGGTGGAGGACCAGTAGAAGTAGACTGGGCCAGGACTGGGTCCAGTGGGTGTAGATGAAGTTGGAATTGGGTAGACCCCTCTAGCTTGCAAGCATGTACATACACAGCTGCATTGATCAGGGCAATAGGGGGAGCTTTCAGGGGGGTGCAAACCAGTGAGTCAACAGATGGTACAGATGGTGCAGGGCCAGGGTTGGGTTGGTCAGGTAGACCAGGTTTGGGAAGACTGGTTAAGACCAGTGTGGTGGGGGGTGTTGACAGGGTTGGCATTCCTCCTGTAGATGTCTGGAAAGTTAGACTGCTCAGTACCCAATCAATCAACAGATTGTAGCAGTGTAGGAATAGGTAATAGAAGATACCTAGAAATAGAAATTAGTCAGTAAATGGGCAAGTATGTGCTCAACCCAAAAGGGAGATCCTGTTTTGGAGAAATGAAGTGTAGTAACAGTGTAAAAATGCAAACTGGAAAGACTACTTAGCTCTGTCTGTCCAATACCTCTTTCCAGTCCTCCTGGCCCTTTGTGTACTCCCCAAAGTAATAATTCTAACTTCAAAAACTTGCTGAAATGCAAGACAAAATCACCCTGCTACTCAGGGCCTCTGACATGAACTTCTCATATAGTAAACTGAACTTGCATGAACACAGCACACATGCTTAGTCAGCAACATGGCTGCTTGCCACTAAGTCCAGTGGTACAAACACGAAAACAAAAGCAAGAAATAAAACACAAGTCCCCCAACCCCTATTTTCTTCCAACCAAGATGACTTCTTGTAGGGAATTTGAACTCATTCCCTATATCCAAGGGGTGGTTTAGAATTTGACCATCCTTGGTTGCTCTTCTCCTCACATGAACATCCTCACCCTCAAACTCTTGTGCCCTTCAAACACAACTCTTCACCCCTCTAACCTCACACTACTCAAACACAACCCCTTTCCTTGCCAAGACCCACTCCAGACCTCACAGCACAACCCTCTCTGCCCTCAAAACCTCCACAGCCCCCAAGTTCCTTGAACTGAATGACCCCAGAGGTAACTCTGAGCACATGAACAAGTGAGTAATAAATTGAGTGCAGAGTAGAGCAGCTGCTGCTCTTTGAGGCACAGCTTCCAGCCCTCTACAAAGCATCTCAAATACATATATGTACCTAAAGAAAAAGACTCCCATTTAGTGGTGTATTTACTATCCTTATATGCATGTGCTCTCGATCATTGCTCATCCTTAAGATGACTTAGCACCAAGAAAAACAACGGAACTCAAAATTATAACTTAGGGTGGGTAGAATCACCCAAAGGCTGGCACAACTCAGTTGAGCGATGTTGCACGAACCAAAGCTCGAACAAAGGAAAAACTATACACCGACACACTCACCAGGACTTCCTCTATGCCACCCTTCTCATTCTCGTACCATGGACTCTCTGTGTACACACATGCTTGACTCCTCATACTTTGTCTGGCACTTCGTCTGGGGGCTGAAGCCCTCGTGCTAAGTGTTGCAGAGTGACTTCAAGTTGCCTGCCTTCGTTTACTACTTGTTCACTGCTAGAAACAAAACATCTTGAAGTAGCACATGTTCCAACTGTAATAAAAGCTGTCACCTTAGGTCTGTAGATCCTCGAACCTGCTTCGAAGATAGGTCTTCGACTCTGACAGGTGTAGGCACCAACTTCATTCGCCATTGACCTCAAGCAGCTTTCACAGTCAAGGTTTGTCTCCACAATACAACAGCTATCTCCTTTTGCCAGTGAGTCTTCGTGCCTGGAGCTGTTGTGATCGAATGCTAAACTAAAGCCATCGCTCTCTTCGTAGTCTATCCTAGAACAGCAAACTTGTAAGTGAAACATCAAGAAAACGAGTAGAAACTTCAAGCGCTCGCACTCCACTTGCAAATCCATGTTGTCTTTCCCTTCAGTTGTCTGTGGTCGCGCACTGAACCAAGCTACAGCAGCTGCCATGAAACCGATTGAAGTAGCAAGTTGGAAGTGGTTCCACACTTCGTCACATATCCTAGCAGCTCGAGCTCAGTGCATGAACCCATGCCACCTCGAATGTGCTGTGCCCAACGTTGTCATCCTAGTCAGCTCCACCCTTCTCCTATATTCATGGCTCCATACAGAGCTCCTTTCGCGATCTTGTGTCGGCTCAAATGCCATTCTCGTACTCCTATATGCAATTGAACTTGGCCACAGTCATCGGGTAGTTTTGTATGGTCCCAACATCTCCCACTTGTGCATCCTCTTCTGCCACCAAAGGCCATCATTGTAGTTCGAACAGCATCCTTCGTGCTCGCTTAACTGTACGTCCACGCATCCTTTGCTCGAAATCTGTTGTAAACCCTTGTACCACGATCGCCATTTGTCGTAGGTGTCTCCATTGAACGACCCCTCCTATTTCGCGTGGCTGTTGATCTGCGTCAAGCCTCGCTGTCGTCACCGGTGTTCTCCACCCAGGCCCCCAGCCTTCGTCATCGAGCATCTCGTTCTCTTCGGCATTGCGCTGTAATGTTAGCACTCTTCATCTCGAGTACCATACCCATTCTCCCCACTCATCATAGCATCGCCATGCCACATCACATTGCTTTGCATCAATAGTCTGCTGTCCCTTCTCGTATGTCACTTCCCATTCTCGAACCCTAGCCATTTGGACAGCACTCGTACTCCTTCATATATATCGAGTTTTCCTATAACAACACAGTAGTAAGTGAAACAGCACAAAATAGAAAAGAACAAAGGAGCTGTTGAGCTCGGCGCGTGAATCTCCTATGGTTCTCCTCCATTGAATGACTTCTGTTGCTTCAAACGACCATCGACCGGTGGTGCACCGTAACACCATCAATTGGACTCCCATTGACTCTTGTGCTCGTTCGTATGTACTCGGTATCTCTAAACTCAATAGACCTTGCTCGTATTCATCACATAGTCCTGTAATGTCCCAGAAATAAAATGCTTCTCCACTTGTGATGCAGAACGCCTGTCCTTCGATTCAAAAATGGACGAAGGAGCGCTCAGGTCCATGCAGGTCGAATGAGGTGTTGAACACAGACAGGATGGACCCAGCATTGGGTGCAGGAGTGACACAAGGACCGAGTGTCTGCACAGAGCCATGTACTGCGCGGTGATATTCGGTTGCGGCACATATGGGAGGGAGAGCACCACATAGAGATTCGATGAGCTTCGTTGTCGCACTGTCGAGGCCTAGCCTGGGCTCGCTCGACGTGGCAGAAGAGTAAGAGGGATGAGGAACGAGCTTGTTCCCTGTGAGTCTGTGCGTGTGAGTGATGTTCTCGATGTAGGTATAATCGAACGGACTACTGCTGCCACTGATCACTTGGCTGGGCCCGAACATCTCCTGGACATCATTATATGTGTCGAATGGCTCTTCCAGGCAAGGTAGGATACCCGCTGTGACAGCCGCGTTGATGACAGATTGAGTGCCTCCGATGTTCGCGATATATACATCCCCCAATCTCTTCAATATATCCAACACGTTCTGCTTGTTGGTGACGTTTCCCAAGCCAAATGAGACATCACCATGCCTCTGCGCAACATCCAACACGGAGATGCTGTTTCCCTTCGCTAACTGTCTGACGGTATGTCGTCCTACGAAGCAACTTCGTACTGTAGGCATTTCATTGCTCAATGATTCGTTGGTACTTTGTGAAATTTCGTATTCCCTGTAATGACGCAGCTGTAAGTAAAACGCTTCAAATAAAAAGCTAAACTCTGGGCCCTCAAGCCCAACCGGTGTGGCCTTGATACTTCTTGCGTGTCACACGTCTTGCTGTGATTCTGACAGTCGCTGTTGTGCTGCCATCCGAAGTAACTTCCATGCACAAGTCTGTCGCGCTATAATTCAACACCTTCTTTCTTCAATATTGTCATCTACACTAGGATACTGTGACTGTAAGTATAAATCCGCACAACTGAAATAAAAACTTGGGCCATTGCGTTCAGCACTCGTGCTCGTCGGTTGTCGTATCATCGACGATCGCCGTTGTAGTTCGGACTGTGGTCGATGCACTTGTCTTGCAGTACCTCGTGTTAGTCGGATTCGTTGGTCCGTAAGTCGATGCGTTCCTCCTTCGGTGTCGCTGTCTATCCATAGTCATTGCACTCGCTGCGCTGTAAGTCGATACGTTCTTTCTTCTAAGTTGTCGTTCACTGTAGCCGTAGGTATTGATATCGCACTCACACGGCTGTCACTCGCACTTCGTCGTGCACATCTGCTTTCCCTAGAGTAGAATAGCTGTAAGTAAAACGTTCTAAAATCAAATCAAAACCCTGGGCTGTCGAGCCCAGTACCTGCGCTCATCATGCCTCGTCTCCATCGAACAGCAAGTCTTGCCTTACACGGCCGTCGATCCACATTGAGTGCCATCGTCATCGTCACTACACTTGTCACTGTCGCCCGTGCACTTATCGTTGTCGTTGTCGTCCTTACTGCCATCGCTAGTCTGTATGCGGTCTCTTCAGGCATAGCTTCTGTACTGTATGAAAAGAATAACACCACATTGTAGCCTTCAACTTGCCCTATCCACTCACCCCATTCATAGTAGTGCCTTCGCATCTTGTCATGTAGCTCCTCCTCGATGGCCCGCTGTTTCTCCTCGTAGATCGTCGTAGTTCCTCGCATTGCGGTGGCTTGGATGTCGCTCAGTCATTGTCTTGTACATCCGTTTTTCCTAGAATAAGGTAGCTGTAAGCACAACGTGTTAAAATCTAAGCAGACCGTTGAGCCATCGAGCTCAGTATCTGTGCTTGTCATGGCCTGTCTTCATAGGACGGCTGTTCCAGCCTCGCATGGCCATTGCTCTGCATCCAGCACTGTCGTCGTTGTCGTTTCTCTTCTCACTGTCACCATCGCTCGTTCATAGTCCATCATTGATCCTCGAATTGTGATCACAAGGACCTCTGTCATGCTTTGTTGCATATGTCCATTTGCCCTAGAGTAGGATAGCTGTAAGAAAAATGCCATGAAACTGACACAAACCCTTGAGCTGTAGTGCTCAATATCTGTGCCCATCATGCCTCATGGTCCTTGTTGACCATCAGACTGCTGAACCTTCACACCATGTTCCTGGAACTGTGGGGCTTTACCTTCCTGTTGAGCACTTGCTCACCTTACCTGGCTGTTGCACTTTCACACAACACCCCAGTGATTCCTCCAACCCACACATCTGACACCACTCTGCTTCAAGCACTGCTCACCTGTTAGAGCCTTCTGTGGGTAGTGAATGTGACCTCCCCCATGATCACCACTTAACTGATGGGCTACATATTAGCCAAGACCTGCTCTTGTCACTGTCTAGGAATGCCCCCAAAAAAATGAAGCAGTGGCAGCAGTGGTCACACATTGTCATCCCTTCCCTCCTTCAGCCATACCTTGCATATCAATGACTATCCAACCACTTCCAGAATCCTGTTGACTATGAACTGCCAACATGTGGTTGTCACCAGAGTTGAAAACTGAGAGTCATTTGCATTGATTTCAATGGTGAGATTTCTGTGTTCTTCATCATTTTCCTCTGCTTAGATGCATTCATGGCAGCTCTGCAATCAGTTGATCTGGCTGTCTGTCCTTGTGCACCTGCAGCCCTCCAACTCCTTTGGATGGGCTACTTCCCCTGTGCCCCACTGGGGCCAACACTTGCTGTTAGCCTACAGCTTCTTGGCTTTGTCTGACAACTCTTCATGCACATACCTCCAAACACTTCAGCATGGTGTGAGTCCCTTGAGGCATACCTTGCAGCTATGGGTTATAAGGTGGACACAAAGGTATGGAATTGTCATCTTTTGTATCATTACCCCATTTTTTCCACTTCATAAAACATACATTACTGCCATAGTGACTGTAGTACAGATGACTTTGCTATGTAGGTAGTATATCTTAATCTGATGCATGACTATTTCATGGTTATAAGTGCATGCATGTGTAACATGTTCTGTTTCTTGGGACTGCTGTAGTGTTATATTGATAGGGTAGGATGTTTGTTGGTATTGTTTGTGGTGATGTTGCTACATTATTAATGCATACTTTGGTTGTTCTTCTCAGTCATGGATCATTGCTGATTGTCAAGTCTGGGCCTACTCTGTCCAACTCCAATGCTGGATGAGGTCTGGGGAGAGGTTCAGAAGCAAGTCTGATGGAAAGAGCAGAACTCCGACTGGTGGAGTGTTGGCAGGAACAAAATCTGCCAAGGTAAGGGTGGAGTGAAGTGAGGGCATCAGGTTTAGCTTGTGCACTACCCCCTTGCATGATCTCAGCCCTTGTATTTCAGAGGGGGAGTACAGACAGACAGTCAGAGGTAACTCTGAAAGGCAGAAGATGGAGACAGAGGGAGTAGGAACTAAGTTGATATTTGTACTGAAGAACAGTGGAGTACAGTACATGCTTTTATACTACTACAGAGGTACAGTAACCAGAATTGGCACTGACATATGGAGACTCATAAAATTTCAAGTAAAACTTCCTAGATGACAAATGAAGGGTAGATGGAGGACATATGAATGGGTAACATAGAACATCCAGAAAAGGAAACAGTCCAGGTGCTGGACCATGTGGTGTGTGTGCTGCAAAGTACCTGACTGTGAGCTGTCAGGGAGGAGTCCAAAGGTAGTCACATGACTCCTCAGAGAATGGTCTGTTCAGTCCAGTAGGGGAGCAGTACAAGTCTGACAGCAGTCAGAGTGGAGATGGTTCATAACCAACAGAAGTTGGGTGGAGTTGGTGTGGAGTGAGTGAACAACTGGTGGAAGAGGGTGCAGAGTGAGTAAGGACCTAGAGTGAATGCATGGTTATGACACTGATGATACTTGCAGGAGGGTATATACTGGAGGTTCAGTAATGCATACCACTGGTATTGTATTCTGGAAACATCCCTTGATGAATATGTCTAACAACAACTGCAAGAATCTGCTAGTCCACCATCAAACATCCCCTCTGCAATCCCATTGCCAAGTTCCCCAGACAATGATGTCCTCAGTTCAAAGATGAGGCCATCAAAATACCTACAACAGCATTGTCCTCTATGCTTTGGTGGCCAGAGCTGGCAGAGCAATAATAGTGAACATGGGTATGTCACTTGGTGGATATAGTTTTGTCAACTGCTAAAATTTCCTTTGTTCTAGCTTTTCTGGTGTTGATGCAATTGTTTGCATTGATACACTTGTTTTACTCAGAAGCACAGAAATGGGCATCCAGATGATCCAGTAAACCCTACAGCTACAGTCTTACTTTCACAAGAAGATATTTGTGCTATGGAGCATGAGGTTAATGAGTTGTCAAAGTCAAAGTCTTCAACCCAAAGGAGGAGTGGACAGGCTTTGAAAAAGAATTATCTTGGTGATGGGGAGGATGAGTTTGAAGAGGGAATGAGGATAACAATGTCAGTGCTGAAGGGTTGTAATGAGTCCTTTACTGCAGCTGATGAGAGGCACCAGAAAGTGAGTCTTAATCATTTATTCTGACTCCATTGGTCCGATGGCAGTGTAGGCAAGTACCCAGTTCTTTTCAGATACTGGTGTCATGGCCCTACTCTGTCATCATGATCATGTCATTTACTTTGCAAATATGACTTCAGCTGGGGAGAGGCAACATTATGCACTTTCCCTCATCAAATCTCTTTTTGGCCATCTCCCAGATAATTTTCATATTGGGCTGTTATATGACATAGGTTGTCAACTGGAACAGAGCTGCAGGAAGTGGGGTTTTCTCAAGTCATTTCTGCCATGTACTTCTTTTGCCATCTCAGTATTTCATGCCTTTGGTCATCAATGGGCATGTCAGCTTATCTATCACCCCTGAAAATGTGAAGGATTTGGGCTATCTGATGGAGAGGGATGTGAGCATTTTTGGAGTTCAATCAAAGGGCTGATACCATCTCTTCATGTTTCTGGGGTATGTGTGCAGTATGCCACATCTGTTTCAAGCTAACATATTATTCAGTATCATCAATGCCTCTTTGTTATTGACTTCCAGGTGTTCCACCTGGACATGAAGAGTCTCACTGGTTTGGGCCAGTGGCTTTTGCATCACTGGAATCATTGCCAAGAAAAGAAGGCTGCTGCAAACAGAGGCCTAAGGAGATGTGGAGTTGATATCCCAACTCTTCAAGCTGAATGGGTTGCTCAAGCCTCTGCACAGACAAAGCCAGCTCCTCATAAGCTGCTGATATAAATAATGACTCCTGCTCACCATCAAATTAGGTCACAGCTCTAAAGCTGCTGAGAATATGATATTGCAAATCATGGCAACTCAGAAATCATTGGCAAATTATGAGGCCAAGCTAGAAGTGCTGGAGAAAGATCCTCTCCATGGGGTTGCTGACATGACAAGCTTGAATATCCAAATTGCAGAGTGTCATCAAAAGGTTAAGTATTTTAAAGAAGCTTTGCAGAACCAGAGGGAAACCCTAGGCATAAATGGGCATTCAAATCTGGCTAGTATCCAAAAGAGTGCTTATCTTCAAGTTAGTGGCAGTGTTTTTTCTACATGGTTTCATCTAATTGAGACCATGTTCCATAGCTTTGCATGCATGCATTAGCAATCAAGAAACATATCAGAGATCATCTGCACCAACAAAAGTTTGAGCTGGAAAGACTGGAACACTCATATCAGCAGACTCTCAGTGGTAAGAGGTCATCATTCATGAATACCCTTGTGCTTGACTTGCCTTGAAGAACAAAGACTTCAAAACCACACAGAACCATCTGTGAAGTGACAAGAACCAGGAATAGCCAAGCTTGCCAGTAGCTACAATAATCTGTGTCTGCAAATTGTAGGCCTCATACACAAGGGAAAAGCTCCTCAGGAGTCAATAGCCCCACTCCTGATCCCAAGGGACTCTTTGTTCAAACTGGATGTGGATGATGATATTTGGCAGGATATTGGCCTTGGGGATGATTCAGATGGGTTACTACCCCCATGGTTAGCTGATGAAAAAGTGCACTCAGGGATCAGATCACTCCTTGAGCTGAGGCATTGTGAAGAAGAGGAAAGGCACCTGTTGCAGGAAAGAAGAGCTTTGACAGAGTGGTTTTCTGAAGAGTGGGGTCATGTGCAGAAAACCAGACAGAGTGCTGGTAAGAGACATGTGTCATTGCATTACCATGACTAACACACATTGCAGATGTTGATCTTACATATGAACTTGACTGCAGAGCATTGAGACTAGCAGGTCTGTGCATCTTGTGGAAGAAGCAACTTAGAGGCTATCCTGAAACACCTAATGAGAACTGGGGTGCAAGATATATGTTGATGGTGATAATGAGGAGAGGTTTGATGGATTGGAGTCAGGGGGTGAAGAGGATGAGGATGAAGTGATGGATGATGAGTTGCTATGTGTTGCTGAAGAATTTGCCCTGGCAGGTGAATATCACCAACAAAGTGATATGCCATTGGAAGAAATCTGTTGGGGAGAAGAATGGGAGAATGACCTACTGGATATGGATCCACCATCATCTCCAAGTAAAAGAGTTCAATACAGATAAGGGTGATATAGACATATTATAATCTATTTGGTGTGTTTAAATAGAATTTTTTTTGAGCATCATGTTGGCAAGACATATGCATGGGTAAAATGTAGAATATCCCACTGGTTGGCAGAGGGGTAGGTGGGATGTCCCAATGTAGCCTTAGAGGCTGTTGTGGGACATCCCGCTGGTTGGCAAAGGGGAGGGTGGGATGCCCCACACCAGCATCAGAAGGGGGACAGTGGGATGTCCCAACTTAGCCTAAGAGGTTGTTGTGGGATATCCCACTGGCTGCTGGAGAGTGGGGTGGAATATCCCAATATAACCCAAGAGGGTGTTCTGGGACATAGCCTCAGCTAGTGTTGCTGTGGCTCAGCTCCAAAGGCTGACCTGCTCAACAACAAGCAGCTTAGTCACTATGACAACTATTACCAAATGTAGCCTTGTGTTACCACATACCAAATCCACAATAATTATTTTAATACTCAATAATATAGATGTGGTATGGCCCTTGGCTGAGGACAGCTCCCTGAGCCACAGCAACACCACCCCCAGCTGCCAGAGGGGGAAGTGGGATGTCCCAATGTAGCCTTATGATGGAAATGTGACCAGAGCTGGGATTGAAGCAACCTCTTAGGTGATAACCAGTGCTCTAACAGTTGAGCAAATATATATTGTCCAGGTGCTAATATCAGTAGCATGGGGGTAAACCAGTGACATGGGAACAAGACCATGTGAAGAGCAATGCACCATTCCCCACTTGCTCAGAGGATGCTGTGAGACATCCCACTGGTTGCCAGAGGGGGGGGGAGGTATGTCCCAATGTAGCTTTAGAGGCTGTCATGGGACATCCCACTGCTTGCCAGAGGGGGGGAGGGATGTCCCAATGTAGCCTTAGAGGCTGTCAAGGGACATCCCACTACTTGCCAGAGGGGGGGAGGGATGTCCCAATGTAGCCTTGGAGGCTGTTGTGGGTCATCCCACTGCTTGCCAGAGGGAGGGGAGGGATGTCCCAATGTAGCCTTAGAGGCTGTTGTGGGACATCCCACTGGTTGCCAGAGGGGGGGTAGAGATGTCCCAATGTAGCTTTAGAGGCTGTCATGGGACATCCCACTGCTTGCCAGAAGGGGGGAGGGATGTCCCAATGTAGCCTTAGAGGCAATTGTGGGACATCCCACTATTTGCCAGAGGGGGGGAGGGATGTCCCAATGTAGCCTTATGAGGAAAATGTGACCAGTCCTAAGATTGAACCAGTGACCTCCTAGGTGTGCTGCAACCACTGAGCCATATGGTCTGGGGACTAGTGTCAGTAGCTTGGGGGCTTAGACTAGCACTGTGGGAACATATCTCCATGAAGTTAATGCACAGAATGCACCATCTCCAATGTGGTCCCTTCATCTGGCCACTTTTGGAGTGTAAAAACAGTGCACACCCCCTAGGGTCATGCAAATGGTCTGATTGCCTTTTGACCTTGTGTCATGTGATGGATCAGGATTTACTGCTGTGTTTCCAGGAGGCCTTACTGTCAGCCACCTTGTGTCCATGTAACTCACATGATCTGGACTTACTAAGGATGCTGCATGACCCATTGTACTGAGCATGCATGGGTTCCAGCTGCAGCTCATAACCTGATGAAAATGTGACCAGAGCTAGCATTGAGCTAGGACCCTCTCAGTGTCAAGCAGCTGCTCTGACCATGGAGCTACCTTGCATTGGATTCTCTATGGTGCTTGTAGGATTAGTGCAGATTACTACTTCAACACCTTAGAGGCTGTGTTCAGACATCCCTCTGGTTGCCAGAGGGGAGGGTGGGATGTCCCAATATAGCCTTAGATGCTGTTGTGGGACATCCCACTGGTTGGAAAAGGGGAGGGTGGGATGTCCCAATGTAGGCTTAGAGGCTGTTGGGGGACATCCCACTGGTTGGCAGTGGGGAGGGTGAGATGTCCCAATGTAGGCTTGGAGGCTGTTGTGGGACATCCCACTGCTTGGCAAAGGGGAGGGTGGGACATCCCAACATAGCCTTAGAGGCTGTTGTGGGATATCCCACTGCTTGGCAGAGGGAACAGTGGGAGGTCCCAATGTAGCCTTAGAGGCTGTTGTGGGACATCCCACTGGTTGGCAAAGGGGAGGGTGGGATGTCCCAAGGCAGCCTTGGAGACTGCTGTGGGACATCCCAAGTCCCCTTATGAAAGTCAGTGGGATGTCCCATCCCAGCCTCAGAGGGCTATGATGGCACATCCTCCTAAGTTACCTTTGCAGACCAGCACAATGCCCCATGATAACCTCAGAGGCTCATCTGGGACATTCTGCCCTCTGCAGATGGTGTTGCAAAGGTGGCCAACACCATGTTCTATGTGGGGGACTTTGAGATATTGGCTTGTCACACAAGTGTTCAAAAACCATTCACTTCTTCCTTCATACAGTACAAATTGCATGAGGTATAGACACAAATTGATTGAATTTATTATTGCAATTTTCAAGGCAAATGTGGAGGCCCAGGTGGGTCATCTCCCTGGCAACTAGTGAGATGTCCCAATACAGCAGAATCACATTGCAAAGATGTACATGAAAAGTACTATTGTATACTACTATGCATGGTGGGATGGGAGGGGATGTATAGGTTAAGGGATACTTTGTGGATTAAATCTGTCAGAGGAGCAAAGGGGCTAGGATTTCTGCAGTGATTTCAATGCTAATATAAGCTGCACTTTCAGGAGTAGGGACCCCAGTCACCCAAGGCAGTCTTGGGACATCCCAAATAATTGCATTTGAATGGATGGCTATGTGGGATTTCCCATCTGTTCCAGGGCCTAAAAATCTGCATAGCCCTGGGACATGACCAGATGTCCCTGGGCAGACCTTGGTCTGGGAGGCTATTAGGCTGGATGGTTTGGTGAAACTATTCAGCCTAAATGCTTATGCAAAATGGTTACCTGAAGTGGAAATTATTGGTGCAGTACAAGGTAATCAATCTTCCATCCAATCATGAGCCAGCTGCTTAGGCCCATTACTTATAAGTTGGTCCTTTGTTTCTTAGAGGGCATGTTGCCAGATCCAGGGCACATCTGCTTTGATCCCATCTGTCATAAAATTTCTCATGACTTTGTTATGTGGGTGTGATGATACCATTGAGTCATAAGTCTCATGTTCAAGGGTTGTGTCTCTTACATCTGACTTCACCATATGTTGCTGTGGGTGGCCCCCTGTACCCTTGAGTCTCATGCTGTGTCAACATGTCAGGTACAATGCTTTAGTGGTGGAGTCATTAATCATACCTTTCACTGGCACATCTTGGCCTGACCTTGATTCAGCAATGGAGACACCTTTGAAGCCTTTGTGTTACTGTCCTTTGTCAATGTAATATAAATCACCCCTCTCGCCCAAGCATGGCACTGCTCCCCCAACCACCACTCCAACATGATAAACAACAACACTGAAGGAGTCAAGTCTGTTCTCTCTCTGCAACTTACTTGGTCCTGTGTCAAAAATCTCCTTGCTACATGCCACCATGCTTGTGTCAGAGATAGGATTGAAGAGGTGCACAAGCAGCATCCCAAATGGAGAGCCAGTATGCATGAGCATTTCTCTGAGGCAATCACTGATTTACTTCCAAGTGGGGGGTTGACAGGTAACAATAAAGTGAAACAACTGGTCAAACACACTTTGCACAGAGGTTGGACAGTTCACTTCCAAGAGCCTGCTACACCTGCTCCAACCAAGGCTGTCAGTGGTTATGATCTACATCTGCCCAACACTTGTAGTCTCTACTTCTGAAGCAGCTTAATTTGACCACAGTGGGAGCTGAATGTCATGAGTACTAGATATGGTGGACAAGATGAGGACTGGGACATGGATGGCGATGCTGATTGGGAGATGAATGATGACCCAGATGACCCAACTGACTGTGAAGGACAGGAAGCACTGGGAACCAGTGATGGGACTGAAACCAAAGTCAAGCAGGAACCTGTGCCCCCCAGTGAGTGATTAAACATGATAGAGTAATAACACCTCCACTGATTAGATCATGGGCAGCACCACTGGCAACTCAAACACTGTCAACCTCAAGTCATTTTTTCACAACAATGTTCAAGCTTGTAGGCTTTCATCCCCATTGGGAGGTATGTTTGTGTCGCTCTGAATGGCATTCATATACTTCCTCATTTGATTTGAAATCTTTTAAGAGTGGTAACATGGACAAGCAAGGGGATACAACCCAGGAGTCTGAAGAAGTGGCAGGAGTGATCGAGGGGCCCAGTACAATTGAGGTCTGATGGTCTTTCCCTTCCTCATGCTAGCCATTGTTTTTCTGACAAGTCAAGCATGCAGGTTGATGAACCTGATTATGGACTGCATCAGCTGCAGGCAAAGGACAAGGCAAAGGCAAGGTAAGGCACATTTTCTCTCCTATAGGACTGACATACTATGTGAAGTGTTCATAGGCCTTGGAAAGCAATTCATTTGCTTGTGAGTACCCTCTCATGACACCTTCCCCTACTCCAAACTGGCTCACATGGTCATCCAACAAAGAAGTAGCTGCTGCTGATGGTCATTACAGCACTGATATCTTGTCTGCAGACCCCAGCAGTCTGTCCAATGAGGTAAGTTACTCATTGCATGCATCTTCTGGGAGCTAATACTTTTCACTGCCAGAGTGATATACCACCATGGTATCTGCCACATAAGAGTAATCATGAAGATGAAAGAAGGCAAAATCCAGGAGTGGGTGCATGGCAACCCAAAGGATCTGCCACAGTATGTCTTCAGTATGCATTGGATTCTCTGGGCACTCACTCACTAGTGACCTCCCTAGAAAATCACAGCTTCAGCCCAAGCAGACCTGCAACACCTCAAAGACATACTCAGAAGTGAAATTTGGGAAAGTTTGAGACAAGATATTTCTCAGATTGTCTTTTTCACTGTTGTGCAGGCTATGGAGAAGTACAGTGGGAATTCTACCAGCTTGCCTTGGGCAGCCAAGGCTGTGGCACCAAGAAGCAGTACTATATACAGCAAGACTCCACAAAAGTTGAAGGATCTCCCACAGCATCACCCTCCTGAGTGGAACACATTCAAGGTAAGAATCAGAGAGCCATTTCCAATTGATGACATACCCTGATGCTTCTCAATAGCAATCTATTTGTGAATATACACTTGAGCTCATTGGGCTTCCCACAGATGTGAAGTCTGTGCTGTCATCTGCTACAGAGGCAGCTATAGGTGCATGGGACCTCAATCATGGCCACTGCTGCATGCTGGCCAATTTCTGCATTGACCTCGAAGGCAATCCACACTCTGCATGGAACAAGTCTGCAGTGAAGGTGTTTGCTACTGGATACCTGAAGAAGTACAAGAATTGTCAATACCCTCATGAAACCATAGAGGAAGGTTAGATACAATACATGACTGGGTTAAAGACAAAGTACCAGTTGCAGTGGAAAGGTACTGCAAGGGTAAGGGTCCAGGAGCATAAAGCCACCCACTGGCACAAGCAAAGAAAGGCAGAGGTATGTAGCCCCCTTCAGCTGTGATCCTGTCCTCACAACCTTTATAAGCTATATACCTGTCACCTCAAATGTGCCATGCAGTACTGGAGTGTCAGTGATTGTGCTGTTGACATCATGCAGCAGCTTGGTGTTGACAGTATGAGTTCTGATGAATTGGAGCATGAAGGCCATGGTGGAGAAGCAACATATTATGCCCTCCACAAAGATTGGTGATCTCACCATATCACTGCCTGGCTCCAACTACTTGATTTGCTCCACCTGCAGTTGAGGTACAGGCAAGAGTGGCAGGCCACAGCAGGTGCTTTGCCCCATTTCAGAACAACTTCCTTGAAGGTCAGCAACCACCCTCCAGTTCCACAGCTTCCCACCAACTTCTATTGTGCCAATTGGTATGCCACCCAGAATGACTTCTCTCAGGAGAGGCTGCAGGCACATCCTGCTGCACCTTCTCTTGAGATACCCTGCCAGGTTTCCATGTAAGTCTTAGATATTGCAAACCTTTTTTCTTGGCCTCCCAGCACTGACTCCACTCTTCACAGGGAGGCTCAAAAGTACAATTTGGCAAACTGGAGGATCATTCAGGGAAAGGCTGCACCATTCACTAGTTGATAATAGCTGAAGTACTACACATAGATGGTATGTGTGTTGCAAATTGTGCCAATTCAGTGTCCATTACATATTCAGATGATGGATTGTATATGCATGAGCACAACCTCATCCACACATGATCCCCCTTCAACAATGTGCATACATTGGACTTGAAGGAGATACTTGAGGAATGAGACTGTGCAACCATTCCAGATGATCCTGACAATGGCTTCATACTGAGGTTACCAGTTGGATGATGGATCTGGACATCAGCACATTTTTCTCTGTCATATGGTTAGGTGTACAATAATGATGTCAACACCACCATGATTTGCCCTCATGCAGGTGCGAGTTGTGAGCCTGTGAAATTTCAGAGATTCAGGATTTGATGAAAGTGGGATGACTGAGAAAACAAAGCATGAAGACTAGCAGAAACATGCACCACATTCTTTCTCTGTGAGTCTCAACAACCTTGAAGGTGACTGCCTGTGATTGATGAGTCCATAACAGAAACTAGAATCCCCTCTGTGCTTTTCTCTACCACTGTAGCACCCAGGAGGTTACCCCTGCACTATTCAAAGTGCTGTTGTAAATGAAATGTGCCTGAGAAGTCATGACACAAGGCTGATTGTCACTGATAATTTCCTGCCTGAAGCTAGAAGGCTTTTCATGCCCAATGCTGCCACCACAACACCTGGCACATTCTTTTTGGTGTCCATACACTTTCAGAGAATATCAATGCTTGCTGACATCCTAGTATATTTAGAGTGTATCTACCATCTTTGATATGATTGATAAATCAATGAAGTACTGCAGCATATGCCAGCATACTCATAGCCTCAGGGCCATTGGCCATTGATCAAATGAAGAGGCTCACATGCTGTTTGGGTCAGATCAACATGCTGTGGATTGCACCAACTGGATTGGATTCACTGATATCTATTTGCTGTATAGGCAAGCCTCCTTGACCTGTACCAGTTCCTGCATGTCTCCAAGCCTGTAGTCTTTGTAACTGGAGGTTGTTAAGGAGTCCTCTGTAGTGCTATGACACATAGTTGGTGGTGTGCCTTCTAGCTGTAGTCATGCTCCTGGCTTAGTGGTGCTGCCAATGCAAAAATTACCAGCACACCTATGGTCCTCTTCCTTTGTTACCAAGCTCTGGTGGAGGTCACTGCCATTTCATTGACCATGGCATGCTCTCCCACAGCTCATCCAACCTCCAACCAGTGGGTCAATGACACTCAAAACCTGAGCTTGTCAAGTCTGGGCCTACTCTGACCAACTCCAATGCTAGACAAGGGCTGGGGAGAGGTTTGGAAGCAAGTCTGAAAGAAAGAACTGAGCTCTGACTGGCAGAGTGGAGTGAGGGCATTGGGTTTAGCTCATGCCCTACCCCCTTGCATGATCTCAGCCCTCATATTTCAGATGGAGAGAAATAGATGGAAAGTCAGAGATAACTCTGACAGGCAGGAGATGGAGACAGAGGGAGTAGGAACTCAGTTGATATTTGTACTGCAGAACACTGGAGTACAATACATGCCTTTATACTACTATGGAGGTACAGTAACTGGAATCAGAACTGACATACAGAGACTAAATTTTCAAGTAAAACTTCCTAGATGATGAATGAAGGGTAGATGGAGGACATACAAATGGGTAACATAGGACATCCAAAAAAAGGAACAGTCCAGGTGCTGGACCACATGGTGCATGTGCTGCAGAGTACCTGACTGTGTGCTGTCATGGAGAAGTCTGAAGGGTAGTCACATGACTCCTCAGAGAACAGTCTGCATGGTCTGGTAGGAGGGCAGTACAAGTCTGACAGCAGTTGGAGCAGAGATGGCTCATAAATGTCAGGGGATGGGTGGGGTTGGTGTGGAGTGAGCATATAACTGGCAGAATGGGGTGTGGAGTGAGTGAGGACCTAGGATGAATGCACAGTCATGACAGTGCCCCCCCTTTAGGGCCTGAACCCCTGAAGGCTGCATGTATGAGACAAGATCAACATGAGTTGGTCATTTGAAACCACCTTGATGCCTCAAGGATAATGGCTTTAGCCATGGCAGAGCTCTGTTGGAGTCTGAAGAAGCACTTGAAAAAAAAACATGTTAAGGTACTGAAACCTCATCCTTTCTCCCCATCATTATGCCCTCCCAGTGCCAGAGCAAAACCCCCCAGCCAACCCCTGATCATGTCCACAACTACTCCCAAGTCACAGATGATGAACTGGTTGTCCTCACTGACAACTCTACTGACACCAAGTGGGAGAAGTCCATGGAGAAGGTGCACCAATGAGAGGGGACTGAGCAGAGAGAGAGAGAGAGCACAAGGCAGAGCACAAGGCCAAGCATGAGGAGGCCAAGAGGTGGAAGGCAGAAGAGGAGCAGTTGGAGGCAGAGCAGAAGAAGAGAGCAGAAGAGGAGGCTCAGAGGAGGGTGATGGAAGAAGAGGCCAAGAGGCAGAGGCAGAGGGCCCAGACCAAGTGGGATGAGGCCATGCAAAGGTGAGTGACAGAGTACTGCAAGTCAGGCAGAGCTGACTTGTACGTTTTACTTTATCTTCACTTTAGATTAAGTGGCATGGTGTATGACGTCAACACCACCCAGAGGGTCCCTGGGACCTCTGTGGTGGTCACTGCAACCAGGTGGCCCCCCTGCACTTGCTGCATAGCAAGTCTGATGGCAGGACAGTGCAAACCAGGACAGGGCAAGACTAGGGCCTGTGTGCCCTGCCACAAGAAGAAAAAGGTGTGTAGCTGGATGAGGGAGGATGTGGTGGCAGAACTGTCATGGAAGAGAGCAGGGACAGGGAGTTCCCAAGGGGAGAAGAGGAAGAAGCTGCAAGGGAAGGGGAAGGAGAGAGTGATGGAGATGGAAGAGGCAGATGATGAGTGGGAGGTAGGTGGAGAAGATGAGGAGGAGCCAGAGACACCATGCAAGGAACCCTCAGGAGTGGGGGTCTCCTCCTGGTGGGTGGAGTGGGAGCAGGAGTGGCAGCTGCAGGCTGCAGAGGTGCACAAGAAGGCTGCAACAGCCTTTGAGAGGATGGCAAGGGCAGCAGAGCAGATGGCAGAGGCTGCAGAGTGGACAGCCCACAAGTGGGGGCTGTACTGCAAGTGGGCAGAATGGGCAGAGATGAGGAGGAGGGAGGACACATGTGAGGCCAGGATGGCCAAGTTTGAGTGTGCAGGAGGAGGATGGAAGAGGCCTCAGTTGGAGGTGGTGGAGGACAGGAACAAGGAAGTGGATGAGGGTGTGGAGGGGGATAACAAGGAAGAGGAAGAAGTCAGAGGAGAGCAGGGGGGTGGTGGAGAACAAGCAATGGAAGAGTAGGGTAGTTTTTTTTCTTTTGTCTTTCTGTTTTTAGTTTGTATATTTTTGTACTACCATGAAATAGATTGGTGACCTTGTTTGTGATTCTGAGAAGTGAAACAGATAAGCAGAGAAAACTCTAAAGTACTTAAGGTAGTTCAGTAAGGGGCAGAGTTGGCCTGCAGAGGAAGGTTGTGTGGGCAGAGTATTATGGTGGAGGTTGATACAGGCCAGGTGTGTGTGGATATTGTTCATGGAAAGCAGAGACTATGTCAGAAGTGTGACCTAGCTCAGTTGCAAGCAACCAAGAGGTTTCTTCATTGGTGTTCTCATAACCAGCCCAGCAGACTAGATACAAGAGTTGACAGTGGCAGTGATGGTGGTCCACCTTAGAGTCAAGTATCTCTGATACTTCATACTCAAGGTCACCATCAACATCCACTGGTGGAGGTGGAGGTTGTTGTTGGTTTTGGAAAGGGTTAGCCACTGTGGCTTCCAGTTGTGAGACATGGAAGACCAGATGTACTGAGTGCATAGAATCAGGGAGCTTAAGGGTGATGGAGTGCATACCTGGCCTGGCCAAGATGGTGAATGGACCTAAGTACTTTTTGGAGAGTTTTGCTGAAGGACAAGTGGAGCAGGAGTACTTGGCTTTGACATAGGCTTGTTCTCCAACCTTAAACTCAGGTGGAGGTATGCATCTGGCATCTGCTGGACCCTGGTAGTGCTGCTGAGCAGTGGACATTTTGGAGCAGAGGAAGTCATAAAGGGTGGAGAGCTCAATGACATAGTCATGAGCCCTTGGAGAGGTGAAGTCTTGGTCAGGGACCACAGACAGGTTTGGGTGGTATCCTCTGTTAGTGAAGAAGGGAGAAACTCCAGTAGTCACACTTGGTGCATTGTTGAAAGTGAACTCCACTAGAGGTAACAGCTCAGCCCAGTTGTCTTGTTGGTAGTTGCAGTAGACATGAAGGTACTGCTTAAGGGTCTGGTTCATTCACTTGGTCTGGCCATTGCCTTCTGGGTGGTAACCCGAAGTGAAGTGAAGATGCATATCAAGGGCCATTCCTAGAGAGCAGAAGAAGTGTGAGACAAACTCAGGACCTCTGTCAGAGGTGACATTAGCTGGCACTCCATGCTTGGAGAAGACATGGGTAAGGAAGAGCTTAGCAAGTTCAGCAGAGGTGACAGAGTCATGGGTGGGGATGAACACTGCTTGCTTTGAGAGGCAGTCCACTACCACAAGTATGGCAGAGTAGCCATCAGAGTTGGGGAGGTGTTTGATGAAGTCCATGGAGATGGAGTTCCAAGGTCTCTCTGGGACAGGGAGTTGCTTCAGTAGACCATAGGGGTGGTTCTGCAGAGTTTTGTTCCATCCACAGGCAGTGCAGGACCTGACATATTCTTTCATGTCAGAGCAGAGGTTAGGCCACACATAGTCCCTGCAGACAAGTTCTAGGGTGCAGTTTTGCCTGAAATGGCCTGCTAGAGGATGGTCATGCTTGAACCAAAGCACTCAAAGGCAGAGGTCATCAATGTCAGGGACAAAGATGTGACCATCAAGGCAGAGTAGACCATTGGAGTCCAGGGACCACTGAGGCCTAGTTGGAGTTGGAAGATGACTGGCAGAGACAGGGTTGGATGGTAGGGCAGAGATGATGTCAGAATGCAAGCATTCAATGTTGAAGACCATGGCAGCACAGAGCACAGGTGCCATGAGGGTGGTGGTACAGAGGGACAATGCAAGTTGCTCCTGTGTAAACATTGGGCAGAGATTGTGAGGATTTACCTGCACATAGTCCCTATCCCCCCCTTTTGGGTAGATGTCCCAATGTCACATAAGTGTGTTGGGTTTGGCTCCCAGGCAGTCAGGTCAGAAGTGGATGGAAAGGTTAAACTGTGAAAGGTACTTGAACCAGTGGGCCTGTTGATGAGTGAGGACCTTAGAGGTGGAGAAATACTCAAGGTTTTTGTGGTCCATCACCACATTGACATCATCCAATCCAGATGTGCTCTGGATCTGGCATCATGCTCTCTAAGAGACAAAGGAAGGACCAACCTGTAATGGGCCTGCACAGCCACTCATGATTGGATGGAAGATTACCTAGTGTACTGCAACCAATAATTCCATGAACCTGAGATGGCTCAGAGCACAGCTGGCAATACAAGTCCACAAGGTCATTGGGTCAGAAGCTCTCCATAATATCCATCTGACATAGGTGATAAGAAATGGTGCTGCTCCATTAGAGTGGGCAAGAAGGGTGTGCTCTTGGTAAAAGGCTGAAGGAGATCCCCAACATGGACAGGGAAGGATCCTTGATGAATTGTCCAATGTGCCTAGCTTTGTGATTGTCAAAATTTCAGACATGTTTCTTATCAGTGTCACACTTGTCAAACCATGGAAGTGGAGTAGCTCTGCATGGCTAGAGATGCCAAAGGGTGTTCAGGACTTCCCCCTGCATGCCATGTACTATAGTAGTTGTCTGTATCTCACCTCTTACCTGCCAGTTACATATATACTGATAGTTGTGAAATATAGCTCTCAACAGCCATGGTGTCTATCAAATAGTATTTATTATGCAGATCCAGAAGCCTCTCAGTCTCCTGATGTAACCTTCCCTATCCACATCTTCTCATGAAGGCACTCTCCAGCACCTTGTTTGTGGCAGTGACCAACCTCCAATTCTGCCAATTACAAATAGTCCTGAGGGCTTGAACATAAATGTAGATCAGAGCTGGGTGCTACAGATATGCAGTGAATGAAATATGAGCATAAACCCCCAGTGCCACTAGTGAGATGAAGAATATGATCATTGCATCCAATGACATCCACATCAACAAGTAAGTAGGGCTTCCAAAAGAAAAAGGTAGATGAACACACCTGGTGACTAAAATCACACCAGATATCTCATCAACACTGGCTGGCCAGCTTCCAACTGCCCAGAACAAAGAACTCAAAAGGCTGTTACCACTGTCCTCAGCAAAGGACTCAAAATGCAGGAATAAATCACAGGTTTGTGTCAAAACCAGACACACCTGGAATCCAATAAAGTCAAGGGGCCTGGCCTGTTGACACTCAAAAGAGGATTGTGGGTATGCTCCTACCACTGTGACATCCTTGATAGGGCTATTTCACCCTGCCACATGTTTAGCATGGTGGTACCTTGAAGCCTTTGTCTCTAGGTCAGCAATATCTGCATGCAGCTGTTCCTTGGCCTGACTGGATGATTGTCAATTGTCAATTTAGACTACAAACTTCAGATAAGGGAACTCTGAAGCTTTGCTAGTCAGGAGCCAACACATACCAAACAGGGTGCCAAGCATTGACAGATTCATGGTAGGAGTCAGCAACATCAAACAGTGGAGTGCAGGGAGCCCACAACTGTGAGCATCCACCACACCACTTCCCATGTGATGTGCTCACTCTGAGCCCAAACCATGACCTCGCATGGAATCTGAGCCCAAGACTTGAATTGCAAGGATCGGCCACATCCAGTGTATGGCATCCACTTCCATGCTGAGGTTAGTTGTCTGATGGAAGGAGCACCCAAAACTGCATAGGTCAATGGGCATGCATGGGGAGCCCACAACTGCAGGCACCCACTGCATGTACCATGCCATACCTAGTCCAGTAGAGTGTAGAGTGTAGAGTGCAGTGGATGACTTCTGAGTGTGCGATTTTTCTGCTTATGTAATATTTGACAACTGACTTCCAAAGTCAATTTACTCTTCAAAATACAGTACCCTTTTCTGCTTATGTAAGAATTGATAGCTGGTGATTCACACTTTGAAGTACTTGAGTATTTGCTCTTCACAACTTTGAGCCTGAGACTCAAACTGCAAGGATCAGCCACATCCATTGCATGGCATCCACTTCCATGCTGAGGTTAGTTGTCTGATGGAAGAAGCACCTGAAACTGGATAGGCTGATGGGCATGTACAGGGAGCCCACAACTGCAAGCACCCACTGCATGTACCACACTGTACCTAGTCCAGTAGAGTGTAGAGTGCAGTAGTACTCATTACAGAAGTAATTGTATGCAAGACTCAAGTAATAGCATGCAATTTGTAAGAATCAACAACCAACTTTCTAAAGTCAATATTTCTTGTACTAAGTACTAACAAGTGATGCCTCGCCTCATTCTGGCAGTAGAGATGTATATGTAGTATTGGAGGCTTGCACTGAGGGCTAAGGATAGTGTGTGAACTGGCCATATGAATTTGCTAAGTTCTGAGTAGCTATGTCATCAAAGCAGGATCTCTTTGAACATGGCATTGGTGGTCATTTTACCTCCAGGATGGAGTAGGATCTGTGCATGTTGCCAATGATGGATATCAGTCCTGCATCTGCAGCTGGGCAGTCAGTGATTTTCTTTCTCACTAGTGTGATCCAAGTGGTTCTGGATTCTTTACATGTGTCATCATGCATGATGTGAATACAGGAGTGGTTGGGCATGTGAGAATGACAGTTTCAAGCATGTAGTGCAGTTTTGTGAAAGTGTAGAAAATCAGAATGTAGGACTTGGTCATAATATATTCTGCATGGTAAAAGCTGGGATACTGTATTATGGATGAAAAAAAACAAGAGAGAGAGAATGAGCCATAGAACATTGTGAAAAAAGGGATGTCCCCCCACCTGGAAATATTTAGCAGCTATTAGCAGAAGTTTGCAAGCGAGGTCATAGATCTTTTAAGTCATAAACCATTGGTTGTATGTGTGCATAATTGGTTTTGGGTTTCAAAATCATGAGACAAGATCTGATTGCAACATCTACAATGCCTGGGTAGTTCTGGGGCAAGTCATAGTGCATCAATGGTTCCATGAAGGGGCCCATTACAGATGCAGACACTTTGTGGATGTTTCTGTCATCTCAGATTGGCACAAGCATTCATAAAGGAAGAAAAACCAGGCCTACACACACTCTTCACACCACCTGCCCAAATTGAATCTCAGTGATGAGGAATGTAGGGGAATCACTGTGAACATTGGTTGCAGTCACACAGCAAAGAAAATTTAAAAAATGGTTATGAGATGGGAACAGAAGAACAGGCTGGGCTGCAGTTTTGGTTGTTCATGCAGGTCATAATAGTATCTAACCAAGTGATTCACTGCTATCAGCCATCCTCCTGCAAGGTGTCAATAGTTGGGTGGGTCAATATGTGGGATAATAAATGTGTGCATCAGTTTTGGAAATGTCCAAAGATAGGTCAAGAGGCAGGAAAGTACAGATCATGAGAAGAATTTTTGGGGGCATGTCTTGTATGCTGGTCCTTTGTGTGAGTTGCATTCTGGCCATCATGAAGTGTTCTGAAGGAACCAAAGATACTGTCATTAAGCATGTTGCTAGTCTGCAGGTCTGTCATGACCATGCATTCATCCTAGGTCCTAACTCACTCCACACCATTCCATTTATCAATGACTGTCCTATCAAAGGCCCCAAATCCCATTACCAAAATCCCAATGGCACCTATGAGACAATCCCACGGAATTCCAGGATTAGACACTTCATATGGGAACATCTGCAGAATGTCAACTGAGTCTTACACCATCTGCACCATATGGGAGCCACCATTTCAGCAAAGAAATGCATCATTTCTGTGCTGTCTATCATAGTGGTTGGGAACAAGGTGTCATTCAAGGGCAGAATTCCAGACAAAGCTAAAGTCCAAAAGATTAAAGATTGGCCTTACTGCACAAATATTACTGAAGTGCAGGGATTTTTAGGTCTCTGCTCATACTGCAGGATCTTCATCAAAGACTTCACCAAACATGTATGTCCCCTTGTCAAGCTGACCAAGAAAGACACTCCCTTTGAATTCTGTGAAAAACATAGGGAAGTGATGGAGTACCTTCTCCAGGCAATTGTCTCATCCCCTGCATTGTGAACTATCAACTATAATTCCAAAAGGAATGTCATCTTAGCAGTCAACACTTCTAACATCACTATTGGGTACCTCCTCATGCAAGAGGGGGAAGATGGAAAATGCTGCCTTGCTAGGTTTGTCTCAATTACCCTCAATGATTGTGAATTCTGCTATAGCCAAGCAAAGCTCAAGCCATTTGGACTTTTCTGTGCCTTGCATGACATCAGACTTCATATCTTTGGCATGCAGAATTTAGTTGTCAAAGTGGATGCATGGTACATCAAAGGGATGATTAACAATCCTGACTTACAGCCTAACATGACCATAAACCATTGGATCACCAGAATTCTTCTATTTGATTTTGAGCTTGTACATGTTCCAGGACACAAGCATACAGTGCCAATGCCTCTTGATCAGTAACCACCATCTTCCCCCATGGGAGAGCCCACACTGCTACCAAACACCAGTGCTTGTCACTGGCCCCCTGTGCCATCCTCCTCACTGAGGTGGGGAGGTGCTTTCATGCTTTCCCCAAGGGTACCTTCAAGTCCTGGTTCACACTGCCAGCTGTCCCTCATGCAGTACTTCATCACCTTGCTGCCCACCCCCCACATGGTCATGGACCATAAAGGCTGGCCCTGGTGCCAGAGACTGGGTGGGTGCACCTTGAATATGTGAAGTTCTATCAAAACAACATGCTAGTGCACCTATGTGCTCAGCAGGTCCTCAACAAACCCCATCCCCCCTCCAGATCACTGTCAAAGCCCTGTCCTGGCAGAGGGATCCCCCCCCTTCATCAGAACCCTTGGAAGAGGTAGCAGAGCTCCATGGTGAGATAGTAGTGTGAGTGAAAGTGTGGTTCAGTGGTGAAAACCAACCAAAACCAACACAAAAGACAATGAAGGCAAGTGGTGGTGTGCCTATGCAGTACCCAGATGGTAGAACCTTTTCTTTGGGAGGGTTTTTGTGAGCTACAACACTCAAAGACAAGTGCTGAGGGTTGGGGGTGCTCCTGACAAAGAAGGAGCAGGAATGTGAGAGGAAGTGATAGGGTAGACTGCTATCAGCCTACAGAAGGATGGATAATGACTTAATTCAATATTCTGAGCTGCACTGAGCTCAGGGAGGACTTGGAGTGAAGTATATTGATGATAGACAATGATAAGCAAAATAAATGATAGTTAGACCCTTAATAAAGTCTCAACTATTGAAACTGATGAATGAATTACTGAAGAATGATGAATTACCAGCAAGAGGGGCTCTCTGATGTCTTTTTTTTTAGCTATCTAAGTACAGTGATTTATATACAGTACAAGAGCATTGCCTATGGAAAACAAAGTGCAAACACTTGGTAAGTGATTGGTAACAGATCAGTAAGGAATGTAAGCAGTGGGTAATTGTCTTAGAAAGCATTGTGAGCATTGGTAAGGATGAGTAAGCCAAAAAGTGAAGAATCAGTAGGCAAAGTCAAAAGATTGTTAAGTATTGGCAATAGGTGAGTCAAGGACAGTCAGAATGTCAAAGTATGAGTCAAGTAATGTCAGAAACTGGGAAAGTGCACTGGAATCACATTAGGGGGAGGCTGTGCATGTCACATCTTGAAGAGATTGCTTCTAGGCCAAGGTGGGATGACAGAGAGGCAGCACTGATCTGATGCCAATACAGTACATCCAAAAGCAGACAGGGTGAGTCCAATGTCAACAGGGGTCAAGCTTTGGGGGTCTGTGGTGTGACAGGAGCATAGGGGATCACAACCTTCCCCCCCAAACTGTCCTCTCAGTGAAGCAAATAAAAACTTCATGAAAGCATCTTCTGCTGTATCTTGCAATAAGGAGGCAAGATGTGCATCACACTCATCATGGATACAATCAGGAAGAGTGGAGAACAGTAGATTATACTGTAGCTGTAGCAATTTTGGAAGAATGATGGATGAGATTGGTATGAAGACATTGCAGGGAGCAGGGAGGAAGGATCCATATGCTTCTTGGACTGGAGAGACTGAAATGACTACATAAGACCTTTCTAAGTGAATGACAGACCTGAGGCAACCAAAGATCATCCTCCTAGAGGTCATACTGACAAAACGAATGTGCTGTCCAAGCTGGATGGGCTGAGGGGGGGCAGACAAGGATGGGATGTACCAGGATGCTTCAGGATGGAAGCTGGTAGGAATTCCTGGTAGATATACATTAGCCATGGTCCCTAGCAAAGGGGACAAGTAAAATGATTGATGTAGAGGTGGCCATATCAGAGGAATTAGCAAAATGAGTGTCTTTTGGAGGGAGTGCTGTAGAAATGTGTGGAGTGTGTAGATCCATTCAACCTTTGGAAGGTAGGATTGCATGGCTGAGTACTATAAGCAAGTGTGAGAATAGTGTCAGTATCTTCAGAATTGGTGGAGATATGTTGAAAACCAAAATGCCATACATGGGCACTTAAGAATTTTTATTGGCACTTAACTTGCTTCCTTC